TTAATCAGATTTTTCGCGTTTTTTTTTTACATGGGAAGCCACTAAATAGGATTAGATATAAATATTAGTCAAGGCAACAATTTGAAATTAACATAAAAAATAAAGAATGAATCAATAGGATCAAATATACATATGAGAAAAAATATAGAAAATACCGTGCCAGTCTAAAAAGCTTCGCAAATATAAGAAGAAATGATTAATATATTGAGAAAATAAAAATGAAATTTATCTTTAGCAAGCCAAGAAAAAACAAAAGAAAGTTCAATGTGTTCTTTAGTTCATCATTCTATATAATGGAACGATTTTGCTTCAAAAATGTTATCAATTAATCAATAATATCATCATCTTCCTAAAAATATTATAATAGATATTGTTTTCCTTTTCATTTGGGTTTCGGTGTACGGACGTGGATGTGGGGTGTGGATGTTGCTCTTTTCTAAATCCACACCCACACCCAAAACCAATAATAAATATAATCAATTGTAATTTTCTATTCTCGTGTGATACAGAATCCTCACAAAAGAGATTGTTTTATCGAATGCATAAATAATGATTTCAGCTGAAATAATATGTACACAAAATTCTTTTTCAGCAGAGTTGTTTTACTTTAAATGGATATATTATTTACTTTTCAAAACGAACTATTCTTAATTTTATGTTACGTTCCAATCAACGTCATAACTAACTTATTAAAAATTAAAGCTCAGATATTTATCAAACTTGTAATGTTTAAAGTTTCTATGAATATTTATAATTGAATTATGAGAATATCGGCCTCTTGAAACGAAATGTGTTTTATACTATACTGAAAAAGCAAGCATCTTAAGATATCAGGGTGTGGGTGTGAATATGGGTGTTCCTGCAGCCACACCCACCCACACCATCTCAAGTAATTTTTTTCTTTCTCACCATCTATTTTGTCATTGTAGGATGAAACATAGACCAAACGTTTTGATCTGACATCAGGTCTTTTTTATATATACTATCACATTTTCTCAAATCGTTTTTGCCGAAGTTTATCTTCGATATGAATATTAACTATGAGATCATTCTCTAGCCAAATCCACATTCATACTCTCATTCTACAAATTGAAAAAATTCATGGCATGAACCTACGAAGATGCGGGTGTATGGTAATGATATATCTTTCTCTACTCCCATAGGCACGTCCTCAATAATGTACCTGTTTTGATTCAAGCTTGTTTTCCTAAAATTTTTGATTATTTATTGTCATCAAAGTACATACAAAAGAATACAACTATATAGTAGTTATGAATGACTTGAAAATTGTAATGCAAGAATTTTCGTTTCAATTAAAACATTATATTTTGACTCAGATAAACATCTTAGTAAAATTGCCTTTTCGAGTGGTAAGTTTGATTTCAATGCATAAAGATTTTCAATCACTTTAATATTGTGTGAATGCTGGTCTAAAGGAGTATAGAACAAATGTTGCTAATCAAACCTTCGAAAATGTAATATTGATTCTTACAGAATTTCAACTGAATGCTGTTAAGTTCCTATAAATATGAAATGAAAGTTGGATAAATTCGGATCTATGCACTAAAATTAACCACCCTCCTTTCCTCAAAAATCGATCATCGAGATGGTATGAGACTTTGAGAATATGTTGGGAGTCTAAAAATGTTTAGCCTCCTATCCCGATGTATAAGATAGATACAAACCAAACAAGTTTATCGCTTCTTCAAAAAATCTTTATGAGTGTTCATTCAATATGTTTTGTGTGAAAGAACATGTCAAGATACAGTACCTTTGAGAACTTTCTTTTGAAATTCTTATCTTTATGAAGGAAAAAAACTTCACAAGTTCAAAAAAGGTTTCTGCAGATTTCGATACTCTTTCAAACAATAAAAAACTTTTGAGAAACAACAGTTGAATTTTTTAAAAACTGCTGATTTTTCGAATAGAGCTTGTCAAAAATCTTGAAAATTTTTCGAAAAAAAAGTAAGTTCTAAATAACAGGCTATGCTCCTATGTATTTATATCTCAATTTTTATGATTCTGACGAATATAGGCTTCATTAAAGAGAACAAGAAAATATTGTAATTCATTATAACAACTTCGTTTTCAAATGTCTATGGCAATCAGTTTAATAACTAATTCCTGTGATCATTCATTTATAAAATTATCACATTATAAACACTAAAACGTGAATTAGATAGAACATGTATTTAAATTTATAAGCTATTAAGCCATGTCTCACAATAATCACTAAATTCTTGGTGGTTATCATGTTTATTGTTATTTTGACTATAATTAGTCATCATACGGTAAACATCAGCAACTGTTTGTTTATTTAGTTCCAATTTGTTCAATGTATTTTTAAGTTTTTTTGCTAAATTTTCTTTATCACGAACAGAATAATTCAATCTTTTAAGATGATTTTCAACAAGCATAGTTGCACAAATTTGTTGTAAAAATTTAAATATTAAATCTCCACCAAATACACCACAACCCCATTTTCCTGTAACAATAATTTCATCTTTTGATTTTTCAAATGCAGCCAATGCTTTTCCTAAATCTCGATCAATATTCTTTCGACTAAAATGATCACTATAACAAGCATCCAGAATAAGAATATCTTGAATATATGTTGGATTTTGTTCATGATAATGACCCTTGTAATAGAATGTATCTCCATAACCACCATAATCAATAAAACGTTTACAACCACGAAGAATAACTATTTCATCATCACGTAAAGTATCACAAACAAGAATAGATAAAAATGCTTCTGGACAACAACTAACTTAAAAAAAAAAAAGAAGAATGAATACAAAGAGAAGAAAATAAAATATATTTACATAAAACTTCTTCTTGTGTAGCCGATGGAATAATTCGATGAATATGAATAGATCGATTAGCAAAATCAACAAAACCTTGTGCTTCACTAACATCTTCCATTCGATTAGTAGTTATATGAATTTTAGATGATTCTATAAGTTTCTTTTGTTTGCTCCAATCTGGTAATTCATGACCATATGTATATCGTTCAATTGATATTAATCGATCATCATTTTGCATTGATGATAGTCGAAAATATTCAATTAGACATCGTATTCTTTCAATAGCTAAATCATTTGATAATGAATTATATAACTCATTTAAATCAAGATTTCCATATCCTGGTTTTGTGTTAAGAAAAAATGCATTGGCAAGAATATAACGTGCTTGTGCTGCTGTATAAGTAACACTAGATGTTTGACCTGCTTGAAGTGGTTCAATAGATTTTATTTGTGTATGATCAGATGCCCATTTGGCTATAATTGGAAGAAGATCATTATAAAAATCAAAATCTAATCGACGAATAGTTTGATCAAGACAAGAAAAACTTCGATGTTGATTGTTTTCAACGAGAAATAAATTGACTAATGATTGAAAATTATTATTATTCTCTTTTGAAATATTAAATATACGTTGTTGATTTGCAATAAATGTAGTGCTTTTCGGCATGAATGATAATATCTAAGAATTAATATTTAATTACATCAATATGATTCGATAAAGAACAACAATATAATACATTGAGTGGACCAAAAGTAACGATACACTGACAAACTCAAATATCTTCATTAGGGCACAAGTTGATTTTTTTTATTAATAACAGAAGTATGTTCAAACTTTATATCTATGAAGACAATGTCTAGAGAGCCCCTTTCATAAGTAACATTATTGATTTGAACAAAAAGTTTTTACTTT